TCCTAAAACTTATATTACCGGCAGATGCAAAAATCAGATTGGACAAATTTGGATATTTTTACTTACACTTATTTGAATTTTGTCTACATAATAAGTTTATCTACAATCTATGATATTTCCATATAAATAATTAATTTTAGCTCATTTGTGGCACAGTGCAGCGGCGGGCCAGATGAACTGACCTCGCGGGCCGGATCCAGCCCGCGGGCCGTAGTTTGGTGACCCCTGATCTAGAAGAAACAGAAATTCATGACAAACTGGTATCATCGGGCTTTCAACCTAAGAAAGGAGAGAGAATCGTATTTTCCGTTCCAAACAAAAGAAACCACTGATAACATTTCATTTGAAAACAAAGAACACTATGACTCTCAACTTGTCCATGGATGCGTCCTTTTTTATAAAACAGAAATTGCCAAGCCTCCATTCAAACTCATCAGCCAGTGCTTCGAATGCCAGAAATTTGGGCACTCTAAACCTTATTGTAACGCTAACCCCAGGTGCGCAGGGTCGCATGATGTGGAGTGATGTCCTAATCAGGTGACGAGGTTACACGCGCCAACTACCAGAGCCCCCATATAGCTAGTTATAAAGCTTGTATCAAATACTAACACATAAGAAACAATGTTTTAAATCTCCCTCTTGCTGTACAACAAACAAACGGCCCAGCCCAGTTTACAGTTCTCTTAGAACCGAACACCACAACCACAGCATACTAAAAGTAAAACACCCCCTCCTGCAAATTCCATCAATCACGACAACTCTTATACAACCCCATTAAAACTCTAGGTATAATATTTCAAAGCTTAAGTAAACATTTCAAAAACTCTAAAAAAGTAAAACTAAAATTAGGTAATGTGGAAATTAAAATATGTTCTAAAGCCAAAGTTCTTGGTGTTACATTCGACAAAAGGCTCATATGAGCAGAACATGTGAAGAAAACACACGAAGTCATCAGTGAACGTATTAACTATCTCAGACTTATAGCTGGTAAAAATAAAGGATGTAAAGCTAACACCATCTTGAAAAATCTACAAATTGTATATTCGACCCATTATTGATTATGGCTGTCAAGTCACTATAAATATGTGAGATAACACAATAAAAAACTACAACATGAACATAATAGAGTATTAACATTAGCCCTAACGCATCCAAGTTACACCCCGTTAACTATTTACAGAAAGTAAGTAAAATACCTCTACTTAAAGACAGACTAAATGTATTGGTTAAGAATTATTATAAAAAATCAGAAACACATTAACCCTTGACCTTCATATCATTACATGTGCACCACACAAAACACTATCCCCGTACAATATGTACCACAGCCAAACACAGAATATGCACACACCATGAGCTTCGTTGTTTTTATAACTAATCCCATGTTTTTGTTTTACAGCTTAGGCACAGGACAGATAGATTATTCGGTGCCTGTCCTGTGGAAGTGGATTTATTCTGGGTACTCCCATTTCCCCCACAACAAATTCCACGGAATTGGATTTATCGATCCTCGCCAACCTGTAACCCTGATTATGGGCCGTCAACGAAAAAAGCACTAAACTGTAAAACTTTCTCTATAATCACCCTGTATATCGAATACGTCTTTAAAAGCTCAAGACTTCAAATTATAGTGCCCGGCATGGCCAGGTGGATAAGGCGCTCGACTCACAATCTGAGGGTCGCGGGTTCGAATCCGCATCCCACCAAACATGCTCGCCCTTTCAGCCGTGGGGGCGTTATAATGTGACGGTCAATCCCACTATTGAGTAGCCCAAGAGTTGGCGGTGAGTGGTGATGACTAGCTGCCTTCCCTCTAGTCTTACACTGCTAAATTAGGGACGGCTAGCGCAGATAGCCCTCGTGTAGCTTTGCGCGAAATTCCATAACAAACAAACTTCAAATTATAAATAGAGAACATTCTAAAAATAATATATTCAGTTCCACTTAATGTTTAGTTCACATGTCTGTAATGTTGCTTCTCTTTGTGCCTAAAGCTACACAATGAGCTATTTGCACTTTGCTCAACCACATGAAACCGAACCCCGGATTGTAGCATGACCAACGAGAGACCGGCCATAATGAGTTTTCAATAAGCTGTTATTATTAGCCATAATATCTGTTTAAGGTGTTTCTTTGCAATGTTTGTCAATATTGTGATGAAATATTTCTGTTCTGGATTGCTGATTTCTGCAACAAGTTAGTGTATCATATTTTTCAAGATGTTCATAAAGTGGTTTGTTTAGATTCTCAGCTTGTTTTTTCTTGTGGTAGTTTGTTTGTTGTTTCGTTGGAGACTACTGTTGTGTATGTTTTTTTATTATTATTTCAGTGTTTTTAGGAGTTGTTAAGAGAAGTATCTTAGTTGAAGTAGTATTGGCTGTGTATTTGTTTGCAATTTGTGGTGTCATTTGTTTGTCTGCGCCATTTTGTAGCTGTTTGACTTATGTGTTGTTCTTTGTATTAAATAGGTTTATTTTAATGGATTTATATTTAGTGCATCCTCTATATATCTAGCACTGTGATTTTCATTACAAGTACAACATCTTGGTTGTTCGTGTGTTTTAGAGCGTTGTTTTACATTGTGGGTTAGACCACAAGTAACGTATCTTGGCTGTGATTTACAAGCCGTTGCTATGTGACCGTAGCGTTGGCAGTTATAGCATTGTGTTACTGTGATCGCTGACATTTTTGCTTCTTCAACAGGATGTCTTTGGTCCCATAACGCGATACCGTTGGTAATTTGTTCTTGTATGTTATTCTGTGAATCATTTTAATAAGTTTGTTGGAACTTGTGCTCTTTCTCTTTCCGTGACAGTTTTTAAAGGAAAGTTGACTTTCTTCAACTGGGGTGTTCAGGGATATTGTTACCCCCACCCCCCTTCGCCCCGCTCGCGGCAAACTTATTTATTATGTTCGTGCGTTTTTATAATTTTGTAGGAGAGGGTTGTTTGAAGTTAGGCACAAAGCTAAACAATGGGCTATCTGTGATCTGCCAACCACGGGTATAGAAAGAGAGAGGTGTCCGAAGGGTTCCAGGTCAGAGAAGAAGACCAAGGCTGTTGACGTGTAGAGAAGAAGTAAGGCGACGAACGTTCGATAAAGCAATCAATAAACTTCCCATGATCAGGTTCACAGGGATCAATGTTAGTTGTGAAATGATTCTTTCTACTTTTATGTGTGAAATGTTAATGTCGGTCAATGCCTCTTTTACATTTTCCGTGTCTATGCTGTAGTGTATGCATTTGATAACAAAGGCTCTGGCTTGGGGTTGTTTCCGGGTGGGAGTGTTTTTACGTTTCCTGGTTGGAAGGCATCCTTGGGTCATTCTTGCAGCAGGGTATTAAGATCTTTACTAGGACGCCATCCTACGCTAGTCGTTTGATTTGTATAATATTAGCAGTTGGTTTGCATCTTTTAATTTCTTTGGCTAGTTGTAGTTTTTTGTATGTGCTGGGGATACCTTCATCTATAATGACATGTTTTGTTGGGGTTTATTGTGTTTTGTCCGTTAATGTGTGATTATTGTTACTTGACTTCTTTCTCTTGTGACTGTGATGAAGCCGGATTCATCTTCATTTATGTTTTTGTCAGTGTTCTTTTGTGTTTGTATTTCTTATTTGTTTTGTGTGTTATTATCAACGTCAATTCCCAGTGTACTGTTGCCATCCTTAGATTTTACATTTACGTTTAGTTTCTTCGGTGAGTTCCCTTCGTTATATATTTCGTGTTGTTTATTTGTATAGTCAGGGCTTAATTCCAAATGGGAAGGCTTAGGTGGAGATCCAGACTTTTCTCAGTCGAACTTCTATTCGGGCTTTATTTAGCGATTTCTTTTTTACTATAATTAATGAGAGATGACAACTTAAGTGAGATCTGGCTATTACTGTTTATAAATAGGTCACCTATACTTGGCTTACCATTTGATGTATGTGCTTTATATTCGTTTTTCTGGTCGTGGGCTTTAGTTTGGTTTGGTTTGAATTTCGCGCAAAGCAACTCAAGAGCTATCTGTGCTAGCCGTCCAAAATTTAGCAGCGATAGACTAGAGTAAAGGCAGGTAGTCAACGACCACCCACGGCCAACTCTTTTACCAACGAATAGTGAGGCTGACCATCACATTATAATGCCCCCCACAGCTGAAAAGGCATTTTCGGTGATAAGGATTCAAACCCGCAGATTGGGAGTCAAGCGCTCTAATCACTAGACAGTGAAGAACTTAAAAGTATGGTAAAGCATTTTTAAAGTCAGTTATTAAAATGAATTATTAAAAGGTATTGTTAATTGTTTACTTTCTAGGAAGCATCATGATGAAAAGTGGGAAAACAAGATTTAAGATTCACAGATTTAACATGGTATGCAAAAGACTAATAATTTAAGAACATGAACATTTTATATGCATATCAGTTTTGAATAGGAAATACATCTTGTACAAATCAGTATTTACATATTAATAAAAAACTGTTCCACAAAAAAGGTTCTAAACGTTTTTGTTTATCACACACATTTATTTATGAATATTACATATTTCAGAAACATTATCAAATACCAATCACAAACTACAATAACATAGAAAAAAACTTTGTGAAAAACACAACAATAGAAAATGATTTCTGCATAAAAAATACACAGTATTACTTAATAAAAAAAAAAGAAGGAATTTTACAATCAATTTAAAATTCAAAACTGATACAGTAATTAATATTGGCCTTGTTAACCAGACAGAGGTCCTGGGTCCCATTGTCTCTTTTTCACATACACCAATAAGGCTAAATACTAAAAACGTGCAGTAAAGCTATCATTGTGTTTGTTTTTGTAAAATCACAAACTACTATAAATTCTAACTACAATTTTTGAAATTATAAACATCATATTGAACTTGGTCCATCACTGTTTGTATCCTACTCCTATTATTTTATTTTACTACTTCTTTCTAAAATGTGTAAATATAAAATGAAATATATCTATAACACACATTTTACAAAATAAAAACACTAATCAAAGCATTCACTTTACACAGTAAAAGCACTTATTAATATGAAAATTGTGTATGGTGAGTACAAACTTAAAATTTTATGTGAAATATACATATATCTATATATATAAAACCTTTGATGTAATTATGTACACAGTCCCAAAACACAGTATAAAAAAACATTATAATTACCTAACACTAACATATAAAACTAGAAAGACATTACTTTAGTTAAAAGTTTTAAATGCATTTTGAATGATGTCCTGAGTATTAAAGCATCTGTGACAAGAGAATACCTTATGAAATCTGTTAGGCTATGTTTAGTGTTGCAAAAAACTAAAATCAATTTCCATGAGAAAACAAATGTAGAAAAGTATTTAAAAATGAAAACGATTGTAACATTTTTTTATTTTTTTTGCAGGTGTATTAAGGCAGGAAATCACTAGCTATTATTAACAAAAATACCATAATATACATGTTTCAGGTGTCACAATAAGCAATTTCAAAAAGTAACTAGTATTTTCATGGAATAATATTTTAAATTTTTAGTAGGTCAAAGTTAATTATATATTTTTCGAGTTACAGGAAATGAAAAGTGACATTTCATGAAACTCGTAAGAAAATGACCCAAATTCTAATGAAGAATATGTTGTTTTACCTTTTTTCGCTAACCAACCTTAATTTTTTGTGCCTATGTTCCTTTTTTTCAGTTTGTTAGTAAAACATATATTAATTTTTAACTTCTGAACAATTTCAGTTGAAATCATAATGCTACATTTTTGTGCATGTGGACCAATTGTATGAAACAATAAAGATGTAATAATTGAAAGTTATTAAAGTACTTTCAAAACTAAAACAATATTAAGGATTTGATACAAAAAAGCATCAAAGCTACCCTAATTTTACATATAAGTACACACTGACTAGCAGCTAACATGAATTTAGTTTTTACTGATTATTAGTTGGTATATTAATGTGTAATGTAGGTATGTTCTGTATATAACTAGCAAACATTTATACACTAATATCATGTTTTAAAGAAAAGCATATTCAGGTGGCAGTGAACTTTTCTTTTTCTAATCAGTATTATTTAATAAATAAGAAACTTCCCAGTGATCACATTCAAATACCAGTTCTTATAAAATGTGGACCTTCTTTAAAAATTCAAAGATCAAGTACAAAAACCAACAATAAAAAATGTAAAGTGTTCACCTAAAAACTTAAATTATTAAAAAATCAACAAACCTTCAAATTATGACATGAAATGTCTTATGTCTGATTTTATTATATTCACAGTAGGAAAACCAGTTTCTCTAAAAAGCACTAAATGTATAAATAAAAACTACAAATGTGATTACATCACAAGAGAATATGAAGTGATATTATCCACTGGTGATACAAAGCTACCTTACTTAGCATTTGATAATACAGGAATACTGGTATAGTTGGAAGGTGCTTTCACCTTGGTCAATTCATGGTTCTGATGTGTTGTTAACATTTTAGACATTGCTCACAACATTTATTTCTCCAATTTTTGTTGTTATTTCACTAAATGAGGGACGAGCACCTGGATCATAGTTCCAGCAATCTTGAAGTAGCTCTGTCAGCAATTCAGGAGAAGCTTCTGGCTGGTTCCAAATCAATTGTTGGTCTTGCAACAGCAACAGTATTGCTTCATCTTCTTTGTCAATGAAAGGAAGATCTGCTTGTGTAAATACCTCCCAAACAAGCACTGCAAATGACCATACATCACTCTCTGTCGACCAGTTGTCTAAAAGCACAGCTTCTGGAGCAGCCCATCGAAGGGGTACAACTTTATTGTGATAACGACTGTATTCCTGGGCATAGGTGTCTTCAAACAAGCTAGGGTTACTGATCTTTACATCTAATCGAGAAGTGATTAGACAGTTTCTGGTTGCTAAGTCCTTGTGCACAAACTGTTGAGAAGATAAATACTCCATTCCTTCTGCTACCTGGTGGCAAATACCAATAATCTGAGGTGTGGATAGTGGTGGTGGCTTAGGACCTTTACGAGAATTTTCCTTCTTTGTAGCCAACAAAAACTGCTTTAAATCACCCTGAAACAAATAACATATAAAATTATCTTTTATTAACAACAATAATGATTTAAAAATTCATAATGTTCAAACTGCACCAGTGTTTTCTTTTATCAATGAATATTTTCCTATTCAGATGTACAGAAATATATCATTAAATACTAAGGGTAGAGAAAACATGATTTAAAAAGATTTTAAATTTTTTAAAAAATATTTGTAACTAAATGGAGTACTATTAGGTCGCCAATAACTTAATGTCGCTTTTTTTAGATGAAAAACCCAAACAACTTATATATCAAAACAAAACATTTATTAAATGAAACAGTCTCCATTCTTTTTGATGATGCTTTTTCATCTTACAATCAGGTTGTTAATGCCCAGATTAAAGAAATCACTTGGCCTTGAAGCAGAAAAACATGTCCATGTCCTCTTTAACACCTTCTACATTTGTATACTTTTTCCATTAAGATGGTGTTACAACAAACGAAAAAGATGGTAATCTAATGGTGCCATATCTGGAGAATATGGTGGGTGGGGGAGAACTTTCCAACCCAACTCCATAATCTTGTGTTGCATCAAACATGCCATATGCGAATGTGCATTGTCGTGGAGAAGAAGAACACCTTTCTGATTGACGAGTGAAGGGCGTTTCTGATGAAGGGCTTGATTTAAATGTTCCATTTGCTGACTATGGATTGAAGAGTTTGAAATTAATTACTCCTTTGATGTCCCACCAAATGCAAAGCATCATTTTCTGCGGATGGAGTCCAGGTTTTGGTGTCGAAAGTGGTTTTTGTCTAGGACTGAGCCATTGTTTTTGGTGTTTACTATTTGCATAGAGAATCCATTTTTCATCACCAGTGACAATTTAGTCCAAATATAGTTCATGCACATTACATGTCAGAAGAGTCGTAGCAACGTTCACACATTGGAAACTATGATCATCGGAGAGTTTGTAGGCACCCAAACACCTTATTTTTGGAGTTTTCCCATATTCCTTAGATGTTCATGTACTGTTTCATGAGAGACATGCAATTTCAGGGCCATTTCATGAGTGTGTTGCCTTGGCTTAGACTCAACAAGCATCTTCAGAGCATCAGTATCAATTCCAACATGTCGGCCCCTGCCATCAGGGTTTTTAAGGCTAAAGTCACCTGAATGAAATTTGCTGAACCATCATTGACACTTACGAACATTCAAAACATTTCCATAAACTTCTTTGATATTCTTTGTGGCTACAGAGGCGTTGTTTCCCTTCTTGCATTCAAACAGCATTACATGCTGAATGTGTGTCTCATCGTGTGCCATCATTATAAGGGAATAGAGTATACTAAACTTTACACATTATATATGCTTCACTAACGTGACATTTAGGTGGTTTGTTTAACTATTATATGTGATGTACA